CACGACAATCAAGCCAACGGATTCAGTGATTATATGCGCTAGGAATGAAGATGAAATCAGCCATCTAGAGGTATGGTCAATCCTTTTCTACCTCTCTATAGGTAAAATGTCGAATGTTGGGGCTCATATGAATCATATATATTTGACCAGATTTATGTATACGAGGAAGCGAATGGATCTCCAAACATGTATGTTCATCATCACATAATTATACCGGAATTTCCATTGTGTACTGCATGGATGGATTGCCCTCTTAAAGGAGGGGAGAAAGGTTTGTGTACACTTCTGTTATTCATCATTATTCTTGGTATGGATAAAACATCACTTTTACGCACTTTTTTTTGCTTTGGTATCCACAGGGAATTTTGTAGCTATTGGTTCGAAGGATACTCCTACAATAGAGATTTGGGATCTTGACGTTGTATGTAAAAGTTAACCGTCTTTGTATTTATGTTTTTCTCTTATCAATCATGTGACTGTTAATTATGCTACTGTAATGCTTCAGAGGGATGAGGTGCTACCTTGTGTACAACTTGGAGGAAAAGAGGAGACTAAGATGAGTAAGAAAAAGATGAGTAAGAAAGAGAAGACTAAGAAACAGGTGTGAAACATCAAACTCGTCTATTTCTAGTTCTTCTAAATTTAATGCCAACTTCTTATGTATCCATTAAACTAATCTTGTCATCTTTGTCTTTTTCTTGTTAGAAATACAAAGAAGGTAGCCACACAGATTCAGTACTGGGTCTTGCTTGGAACAAGGAGTTTCGGTATGTTTAAAGCTTTACTAGTGCCCCTATGATTGAAAGTTTCCTCTGCTTTGCTCTCTTAACTTATCTTATTTTCTTTTGAATATATTGGAACAAAAGGAATATACTTGCTAGTGCTAGTGCCGACAAAACAGTTAAGGTTTGGGATGTGGCTACTGGAACATGTAAAATTACTATGGAGCATCACACAAAAGAGGTATAAACACGAATCGTAAATCGATAAAGTCCTTAATTCTATCGGCATCTCATGGTTTTATTGTTCGTATGGTTCACAGGTTCAAGCGGTTGCCTGGAACCATTATTCACCAGAAGTGATTCTCAGTGGCTCGTTTGATCAAACTGTTGTGTTGGTAACTATTTTGTTTCATGTTTTGTTTTATGTGTTCCAATCTTTTACTTTAAACAATTATCAGTGATATCGTTTTGTATATTTTGTTGCAGAAAGACGTAAGAAAGCCTTCGCACTCGGGTTTCAAATGGTCTGTCATGTCTGATGTCGAAAGCTTAGCCTGGGATCCCCACAGTGAACACTCCTTTGTGGTAATTTACACTTTCCGTTGCTTTTATGATAGACAATCTGATGTTATAGCGTCTTTTTACAGATTTTCTTATAAATCGTTTTGGTTTCTTCCCTCTTAGGTAAGTCTAGAGGATGGAACCGTCAAAGGTTTTGATATACGCACCGCAGAGTCAGGCTCAGATGCTGAATTAAAACCAAGTTTCACTCTCCAAGCACATGACCAAGACAAAGGAGTCTCCTCCATCTCATACAACATTTCTGCACCCAATGTATG